TATATATATATATATATATATATATATATATATATATATATATATATATATATATATATATATATATATATATATATATATATATATATACTTACATGAAATTATTACGGTGCTCAGGAATTTTCCACAGATAATTCATAACGACGTACATCGGACGACGGTAATTGAACTTTTGCTCGAACTGCACGCTTTGCCCCGTCATCTCAATACTCACGAATACGTGCAGCAAATTGGCCACTATCTAGAAGCAAACGAAGGAATACGTGGGATATCTAATCAGGTTTATACATCTTGCATAAACTTCATAAAAAATCTTACTCACTTGCTGCCTGTGCGGGTGAGTCACGAACAGTTGCTCCCTGTGGAATGTTCCTAAGTTCGGCGTTGTTGAATCCAAAGTCTCGTCTGTTATAGGCAAGAGTGCTTCCAAACCTTCGGCTAAGCGCGCACGCAGATGAGGATTGTACAAACGGTTCTGACACTCCATCAAAACTATAAGCTGAAAGGACAGACGTATAACTTTAATGATCGCGATGAGAGTATACGGTTCTTTCTGCCTTGACTTACCTCAGTCAGGATCGGATTCAGGAATCTCGGGCCTTGTTCCTCGAATGTGTTTGGACTTAGGCGACGTAGGAAATATAAGAACTCGATAGTGTTTTCTACTATGAACTCAGGAATGCACCTATCGTAGAAATGCACTGACTGGTTCACGGATTATCTACTCCAATAGCACACACAGCATGTATTTGGCATACCTTAGTGTAATTGGAACAACCTCTGATAGTGGGAATGTAACAGATTTGCATTGTTTTGGCGCGAAATTTTCCTCGTCTCCCTCATTGTTCACGTTATTCAGATTTACTTGTATCAACCAAAAAGCTGTCATCGCGTGAAATTTCGCCAAGTGTTGCAACATTTCTGGTATTAGAAGACTCGCTTTAAGCGATAAGTATCTGTAAGCCCATAAACATGTAACTATAACAACTACACCAAAGGCAAATCGTTGATTTGATGTGCATTAACATATGTACTTCGTCATTTCACTTTCCATTCGTTGCGTTATAAGTTCAAGCAATTCGGAGCTGCCACCGGTCCGAATGTCGTTGTAAGTTCTTTGTATATTAGCTAAATCTTGATTCGTCCTGCAGAATTAAACTGTAAGTATAACACAACTGGCGCAGTTGTTTAGGAGTTATAAGAATGTTCAGAAAATCGTTCTTCTTCATACTTTGAAAACTTATCGAGTATAAGTCTGTAACCAAGATCCAACGCACGATGTGTCAAGAAGAAGCATTCGGTTATGAATCCAAACGAATCTGCTACTGGTCGACTCTCGCCCTCTGAAGTTGGTATCAAACACGTTTCCGAGCTCAGTCCTTTCATATGTATACCACGTTGCAGAGCCTCAGCTTCATCTTTTGCCTAAAAGAGTAAACATATATAGTGAGTAAATAAATATAACAATGATAAATAAATTGAGAAGAATCTAAAGATGTATGAAATATAAACTTTGCGACCAAATTTGGGACACTGTTAATATTAATATAAAAATATTGTATAACCTTTTCTAAATTTTTAAACTACCAACCTCGGCACTGCAGTATGTAGGATCGATCTTCGGCACTTTATCGTCGCTCAATTTAACACAGAATGGTTGGCAAAGACGTAACAAGACATTACCCATATTCAGCATAAAACCATCGGAAACGCACAGTATCGCGCCAAGTCCCATTCCGGTATGAGAGTTCCAAAGCTTTCCCCTATTTGTATTTGCATGCAGGCAGTTACCTAGCCATTGCAGAGTCAAATGTCGAGACTCTGTCGAACATTTCAACAAGGAATGGAAAACCTTGTGCATATATTCACCCATAGTAGTCATAGCTATCCATATGCTACCTTCCATGGCAGTGTGTGACTGTAATATACCAATAATGTATCAGAGCGAATGTGATTTTAAAAACTTTTATCAAGAGGAACAAGCACTCACTTGCTCTAAGGGTTTGTCGAAGAGATCATATGGAGCTTGTGTTGTCTTCGGCAAACAACTTATGTTGAAGAGAGCACCTAATAGCGTGTCTGAATATGCGCGACCTTGGTTATTTTTTGGTGTGCTATGACAAATTATCAATTTGGCTAGTGGTTCAATAGTGGAAAACGTATGGAGCAAAGCAAACCACTGATGGCGAAAGGTGAATAGATTACTCTCAGCTGCATCTTTATGAATGATATCAAGAACTGGTGAAAATGATACTGCAACCACGTCATCTATGTTGCTCTCTTCATTTGCTGCTATTAATTCTTCTATTATCCCACTGATGAATGAGGACAATTCTGTCTTTGATACATCATCCATGAATAAAGAAACAAATTGATTGTGAACCTAACAAATAACAAATATATATAATCACAATTATATAATATGTGTATATTATAACAGTACAATTACAAAAGGTTGGGTAACAATTGGTTACTCAATTAAAAGTTAAATTTAAAAAAAACGTTAAAAATTAATGACTTTTAACTTCATTCAGTTAATTTTCTTATTATAGTCCACTTTTAATTTAAACTACTTATTTTACAATGTATTAACTTTAACTTATTGACTTTTTTTATGTAAGTTAAAATAATTCATCAATATTTATGAATACTAAAAAAAATGCCAACTAGTAAATATCTAGTTAACTAACATGATTGATACTTTAAATGTTTTGCAAGATAAACAGGGTTCTAGAAAAATATCTTTTATACAATTGTTATGGTATGGAGAGAAATTTATACCTCTTGATTCTGAAATAAATCTGGTTCCTGCAAAGCTGTATTGGCATTTCTTAAGACAATTTGACAAGCATCTTTTATGATATCTTCCAGACCATTTTTTGCGTGATATTGCTTTAAACGACAGTAGCTTTCATAAAGGTAAGATATAACTTGAGCTTGAGTGGTATGATTATCAGATGGAGATTTGCTATATTGATTGTATGTCATCTTGGTTGCAGGATTTGGCAGCATCAAACGTTCAAAAACAGCGTGTTCGATCGAATCGGTGTCGATGAAAATCAGAGCTCTCTGAACAATATTGTTGCTGTCTGAGTGCAGTGCCAAGCCAAACACATCTGCCATCAGCTGATCGATTTTGTCTTTGACATCTGAAGTATTTGACTCTATTGTAGGACCAATCTCATTGTAAGACTCGTCCTTAATTACGTTTGACGATTGTTCCACGTAATTAGCGTTGCTACTTTCATCGTCGTTCGTTTGATGTTGCGAGGAGAATGAGACAGCATCGTTAACTGACGAAAACAATCCAGCGAATGGATTTCCCTTTATATTGTCGCACATGATTGCAGTTCCTTCTTTACAGCGAGATTCCCGTGATGACGCATACAATTAAACTACAACTGAATCAACATTTTGCACCATTGCTAGCACATACTGCTCTAAAAAGTATATTTCCACGCTATCTGCTGTGTGTCACCAAATATCACTCAGAATGCTTGATCATTGTCGCGTAAATGTAAGAGACATTTGTAGAACGGGAGAGGTGTGAGAGAGAAAGAAACGATCAAGGAGAAAAACCTGCGCACCGCAACGTTTAGCGGCACGTTCCTGAAACTCGTAGCGATAGCGTCGGTAAAACAGCGTTTTATAGAGAATTTATATTATTCCTATATCTAGGCGAATTAATGGTTGCGTTCAGTAAAGGAAGCAACTTAATAAGCGCTTTTCGCTGCGCTGGCAGCAACTTTGCAACTGTTGTAAGATCTTCTGAACAACAGTAGCGATTTGCGCTTTTCCAATACGTTTACCAAGCAGTCGCCATTTTTCCAGAATATTTTCTGCTGAATGGATATTTTTCAGCAAGGACACGCTATATTACATTACTACACTATATTACATTACTTACTGTGTAAAGTTGTGAAATGCAGTTTATTTTCATAGTGCATATACCAATGTATTATAATTAATTGATTTCCTTACGCAATATATGATTATGCAAGTTAATTTGGACAGGAAACTACCCACTTCCACTTTACTGGAAAATATGGGCCTCTATTCTTGAAATTTTTGCGTATACGTAATTTTAATTGCGCAGCTATCTTATAGTATGATTAAACCTGCGCAGTAAAACTTACATATACGCAACTATTTCAAGAATAGGAGCCATGCTCTATCTTCTCAAAAACAACAATTTGATTGGTTATCGCTGGAATCGACTTTTTATCACACAGTTTGGTCTGTTCTTTTTAGCTGCACTTCTAAACTAGTGCAATAAGTTAAAGTGAAACAAATATACTTTCTCTCACTCTAACTTATCGCACTAATTCGGCAGTGCAGTTAAAATGAACAGAGCATATGCGTCGTGTGTATGGAACTCACGGCTAAGTTTAGAGCACTCGAAACGCACGTCCGTGTACGTGAAATTTGAAATCTAGCGTAGCGCGATGAACGTCAATGGTGTGCAGTTGAGGGTATTTGAAGAGGAGAAATGCATCTACGAAAGTGAGACCTCCAGATTCGACAAGAATGATCTGGAAACATTGATCCGCGACTTGCGAGAAGTGCAGGTGGGGGTCAATCGTTTTTTAACCACGCTGATTCAACAACGGGACACGTCTGACAGCGTACAAGGTAATGGTCTTTAAACAGTTGTCCAATTAGTCGCCGTAATTTGTTTGTTTTCGTGTAATCTATTTGACTAATTTGCGCAGACACGACGGGTCGCTCTTCGGACGTCGAATCATACTCCAGTGAAGAGGAGAAAGAAAAGAAGGAAGAAGAAGAAACGCAGGTTAACTCCAAAAAGTGCAAGTTGTCGATATAAAACTGTATATTTTGTTTTTTGATAAATATTATATTTCGTTGGTGCCTTAACTGAGCGTTCGAATTCGAGTCCGCTTTGCGGACGAGTCCTTTTACTTCTGTGTCGTTATAGAATTTTTATTACGAACCGCCATGCTCTCTACGACAAATGAGTAGAATATGATAACGCGCGTCTTGCGTGAGAACCATAAACGATAAGAACGAGCCGGACGACGGTAGTGCACACAACTTGCAAAAACTGAAACAATCCGATAATTATCCGTTTCGTAAGCTATATCAATTATTTTTGTATGTTTGAAACATTTGTTTCTTAAATCATTATGTTCGCATCGAGCCGCGTTTCTAACCTAGCGAAATATTTTTTATTCTTCTTTTTTTTGTAGAATTATGTCATTTCGCAAGCTTCTACATTAATTTTTGCTTAAATAGTTAATTCATTATTCAATTGCAAAACAGTTTAGACAATAAAGTTGGGGTGTCATCAAACTATCAAAATCAATATTTATTACAGATTTTTGTAATAATTACTTTACTAATTATTAATATTCATTATTATTAGTTATATTATTATTATTACATAAGCCCATCGGTAATGACTTTTAATAGTATTGTTGTTTCTTGAAGAACTTCCTGATCTGATGTATACTGCTGTGTAAGTCAAAGTGAAACAAAATATACTTGTTTCACTCTAACTTATTCCACCAGTGTGCACTAATTCAGTAAATTATACAAAAAAGAATGGACTTTATTTTGAAGTTCAGTGATCTCTCAACTTTATTGTGCCCAAATCATATTGCAACCAACATGCTTAACTTTTTATCATTCTACATACTGTCTTATTAAAAATATGTATGTGATTCTAAATAAAGTTCATGTTATGTTCTTGCTGTGGCCAGTACCTGATTATTGACACACACATCTTTATTTTTTTAAGTGAGAAAATGTGTACCAAAATATCAAAGGAAGCTCAACTACGTTACATGACATCATGGTTTCAAGAGTGGTCAGAGATGCAACGTGGTGATTTCTTGGAAGTGTTGCTGAAGTTTTGGGCCCCTCCAGAAAAGCTTATGAATGGGCTACTATCTGAGATGGAGAATTTGAGTTGTGAAGGCTCAGATAGGTACCCAAGCCTGTTCCAGTGTCGCGTTGAAATCTTCAGAAAATGGAGCAATACATGGACACAATCTGAGAAAGATTCTTTCTTAGCAAGTCTCAAAGATATGGACAGTAAGTTTGTTGAGAAGTATGAAGAAAGGTTATCAGCATTGATGGAAGATAAACAATAGTAAGCTATATGCTTTACTACTTGAAGATTCCATAAAAATATCACACATTTCTAGTTTCTTTAAATATTGATATAAATATGGAGAATTCACACTATTTAACATCTATACACTTGAGAAAGAAGAAGGACAGGGAAATTGTTTTATTATAAAATATTAATGCTTCTAAATTGTTTATGTTGAAAATGGCATAAGTAAAATTCTGAAACTAACTGCACATGAAGCTATGCACTAAAATAAATAATAATAAAACTGATCATTTCTATAACTTAATTTTTAATCTTATTTATTCTTAATTAATTCTCTGTAAGTTTCGAATCTTTGTTTATGTCATTTTCAAAGTAGAAAAGTCAATTGTTGCATTAAGAAAATTATTTAAGGTAAAATAAGTGAGATAATTGTACAAACATTTATAAAATTTTACTTTTTTTAGTATTTAAAATGTATTTCTCGTATACATTCCTGTTTTTGCGCCTCGTATGTGCCAAGTGTGCGCAATATAATCAAGTTTCATCTCATCAATCACAGTTGTAGATTGTATTCATATATTTATCTTAACTTTATATATCCATATACAATATAGCATATTTAACTGTAAGAGTAAGAAAACACGAACTAGATATTGCTCGATATTTAAAATGTAAATGATCTTTTGAATGGAGTCCGAAAATATTCTATAATTTGCAATGACTATTAGTATATATATATATATATATATATATATATATATATATATATATATATATATACATTTTAAATACTAAAAAAAAAATATATATATATATATATATATAGTTTCAAGGGTTTAATAAACTTTAAGACCTTTTCTTTCTTATTGTAAAGTTATGTCAGAAGTAGGAATTGTATGCCTAATTATTAACTTCAAACATTAGAGTTTATTTAATATAACTACAATGAGGGATCAAGGATTTTAATTTTTAATGATAAAAGAAAGACAATAATTTCTATAATTATCAAAAATAATTTAAGTCTGCGTATTTTCTTGGTAATATATCTTTAAAGAAAATACACATACGTGTGTACAGGAACTTGCATGAGTACAAAACGACTTTATTTACATTATATGTGCAATAAAAACGCGTTGTATCTTAAACATCATTTATAAAATACTTGCGGAATTCCTCCTACTCCGCTTCTAAAAACTGATGATCGTCTAGTTATCAGTTTTTTTTTTTTTTTTCAACGAGAGATAAATTACAGATAATACACTCGACAAACCTTCGTGTATATCCTAAGTTCATTCCTTTGGTTCTTGTTGCAGCCATTTTAAACATATAGCTTTGATTGCACTTTGGCCAAGCCTATCTGATTCTTTCAAGATTTTTCTTATATCTTGCGCTCTAGAATGTTTAACAGCAAGTAGATACGCAGCCTTCAATTGTTTACTTTCGATATAGGCGTTTATCTGAAAAAAAATCTACCTTAAATTCGATTATACACAATGTATTTGAAATATCTTTCAACATATTAATAATTATTAATCGAAAACTGTAATTCTTTGTCGCATAAATTAATCTTACCCTAAGTTCTATATCTATTATTAGCCTGACTAATGTGTCAATATGATTTTTGAGAACCAGGTCCTGTGTGCTGTACGAACGATTTAACAGTAATTTTACGCAATGTGTCAAAACATGGTCAGAAATGACATAGGCATTGGGTGCTCCAGAACTGCGACAGCACTTGATTAATTGTTCAATCTCAGCTATGTTATTTTTCAAAGCTAACACATGACCAGCTAGGGAATATACCTTCTGTTGTGGAAGATTATAGTCTGCAAGAATGCAATATATTTGATGAGAAATCACAGTTTGCATTCACATGTGTTCTACTTGTATTATTTATATACATATACAGCATGGGTTGCAAAATGGTTTAGATACAATGAAGTTAGGAACTCACCAAACAGTCAAAATTGAGAATCATTACTAACGAATTTGCACAATAATTGTATTATTAAATATTATTATTATTAAATATTTATTATAATATTTAAAGTATATATATTTTTTTAATTAATTAATTTTTAATTATGTGTATATGTTATTAATTATATTATTATTGCGTAAGTCGGTAATAATTCTATTTGGACAGTTTAGTAACTGTTCCTACTTTATTGTATCTAAACCGTGTAACTCCTTGTATATGCAAAATGAATGCGCTATATTGATTACGAATTATATCGTCACGCACCTTGCATTATCCTGAAAGCTATGCCAAATCCTTCCTCGATATCACGGCCGCACAATACAGCCAGGACCGCTAAATGTATTTTCTCTTGTTGATCGCCGAATAACGTGGGCAATTGACGTGTATGCGAATTATCGGTATCGACATCCGGAAAGAGATTCAAGAATTCAACAGTCGCTCTTTCTTCTCTCTCGCAGTTTGCCAAGAATTTCGCGATTTCCGTCTGTCTGCATATAGTGTTGATATGCCTGTCTATCTCTGACGGCTCCATCTCCATCGCCAGAACACCTTGACTGTTATAAATGGAGCACGTGCTTTTCTTTCGTTTGTTCAAGCTTTCGATTTGCAGTTCCGACTCCAAGTGTCTCTGAGCGTCTTGTAACAGATGTACCTTATTGTGCAGATCTGAGTAAGTGTTCGCTTCGTTGATATAAAAACGGATGCACGTCATCGACGCTCTGATGCAGTCTCTCATAAACAGCTGTAACTGATACAAAATGTGCCAATACTGTTTCCTCTCCATAAAATGGCAGACGTGCATGAGATACTTTCTCCACATGAACAGAGTGGGATCCTTCGTTTTCATCACGTCGTGAAGATCCGCGGTGTCGCCGTTTTTCAGACAGTATAAGTAAACTTTGTTAAGAAACAAGTCGCGTTCCAAATCATTTTCGTGAATATACATGAGGCACTTATCAAACTCCTTGTGCTTTAAGAAGAACTGCAAAATGGAGCTGTAGCTTCCATACATCAATAAATAATACAAACTTTCTTGATAATAAATCGTTTGACTAGTTAAGTGCTTGGCGTTAAACTGATTCTGACTGACGGCTTTCAAGCTGTTGAGTGTTTGCAGGATCTCTTGCGCCGTGTCAGATACGGATTGCGACGGATATTGCGCCCGAGACCGATGCATGCTCAAATTGTCCAAGATTTGCAGGATCTCCGTTAACAGCGGTGGATCTTTCAGCGGCCGGCACTTGGAAAACTCATTCCTTTTCGAGTGACCGCTCTCGCTCACCTTTTCGTCCTCGTCCGACGCTTTGCTCCTCTTCGGTGTGGACGTCATCTCGACCACTTCTCTCCTGCCTTCCTCGGCCGGATCCTTGGAATACGTCAGCATCACCCAACCGTCGAAATCTTCCTGCACAATCTTGTCGAGGCAATGATGCAATTTTTCTCTCGCCTGCTCAAAGTATCCCACTTTCAGACACGCTTTGCCCCACGCGGCCCACACTCCTTGTGTGTCCAATCCCCCTTTAGTGCTGACGTCCAAAGCTAACGTCCACTGCTCCTTTTCAGTGAGGAGATCGCGCAACTTCCTGAGCGTGTGCTCGTTCAGATCGTCTTTTGGTATGAGAGCCAAGCAATCGGACTGGACTAACGTCGCGATGAGGTCCACCTGCGAGAGGAAGCGATCGCAGTGCGCGAGGCCGGTGTTGAAGCCAAGCTTTGCGCACTTCACTTTAGCCGCGACTAGTAGGGAGCGTATCATCTTGATGATCACCGCGTGATCGATTTCGGGATTTATCCTACCGCCGCCAACAGGTTGGAGCAATTGCTTCATTTCGTGGCAACAGTCCAGCAAGAAGCTGCGGAAAATCATTACATCGATATTAATTTTCTTTCTGCTCTTGTGACTTTAACAATATAAATCGTGATAATCGGGAAATCTAGTTTTCACGTTTTGTAACGATTTATCATTATATGTAACGATTAATCGTGTTTAAGGCTCCTGGGGAGTCGCATCATCCATCTCTTTTTAATGACGTCAGAAGCGAGAAAACGCATGCTAAAAATTCCTGCAAAATACGTCGAGATAAACAGATATATCCACAAAACGACATTTGCGATCGATTAAGTACATCTCTAAAATACTCCGTACACTTTCCTTTTGTTCTAAAAATCAATAGATAATCGGAAAATTAATATGACAAGATAATGAGGAAATTAGGTTAGAAAAGACGATTGCACGTCACATTTATTTTATAATTATCTGTTGATTGTTAGAACAAAAGGAAAGTGTACGGAGTATTTTAGAGATGTACTTAATCGATCGCAAATGTCGTTTTGTGGATATATCTGTTTATCTCGACGTATTTTGCAGGAATTTTTAGCATGCGTTTTCTCGCTTCTGACGTCATTAAAAAGAGATGGATGATGCGACTCCCCAGGAGCCTTAAATAATTCAATATTCTCCTGAATGTATATTCAATAATTTTCAATTGAAACAATATAGTCTATGAATATATAGTCTATAAATTTATATAAAACATTTTTCTAACAGATGACAAATCTGATATTTATAACCAAACACACGATTCAGTTTTATTGATTTTTTTATATGTAACTCACAAACTTTTCTAGCAGGGTATCGTTACGGCTTATAATTTACTGCCATTAAAAGAATTTTAAAAGTACCTGGTGTACATCTTATGGTCGGAGTGCAAGTTAAGAATAGCAAGGCACAGTGAAATATTCGGTGCGTATTCGAACGAGAATTCCTCTCTTATGGTACGATTATGTCTCTCATCTTTGGTTAATCGCCAATAATCAAATGCCTCGCTGCTGGGTGTCGACGGTGCATCCTGCACCGCTCGCATTTGCAGTACTGTTTGACGCTTGCAGTCATCGCAGACGCGTACGGGAACAGAGGCCGGGTAGCCGGCGACTTGCATACGATGCTGAGAACATATGGCGCAGATAACGCGACCGCATCTCCTACAGTGGTGTCGTCTGTTGAACATCGAGAATATCACCGCCTCGCAGCAACTGCATTCCCTTGCCTGTTAAGCGAAACGGTGTCCATTAGTTAAATGCAACTGCGATGCATGAAAGCGAAAGAAACTTGGCTGCGAAGATACATCGTTGATGCAGATCGTAACATTGTTATTAAGGATACTCGATTTACCTTGTCGTTAGGTACCCATTCTTCCTTAGTGGGCACATTTACGGGCATGACAAATTCGTTATTCTCCGCCTCAACATTGGATTGCGGGACATTCTTGCTTTTATTTTCGATACCATCGCGTTGGAGCGACACGCGAAAGTCTAGCGACTTTTTGGCGTACAATCTTATTACTTTGTCGAAATTGCCGATATTCATATCTGGATGTTGCAAGTCCTCGTGTAAAGTGAATAAAACTTTTTGAATACTTTCGAATTTACAGTTCATTAGCAATTGTTCTAACATCAGTAGTGGTTCCTTGATCAGATGAATATACAGCGCTCTCTCTTTACTTTCCAGAATCTTTAAAATGTCCACTCCTACTAAGGTTTTCCGGTACTTGGACTTCTCTGTCGCTCTACAGCGTTCTAACAAATAATTAGCGACGAACTTCAACGCGCTAGTGGATTCCAACTTTTTAAGGACTCCTTTGCACACCTTCATAGATTGACTTAATGGTAATGCTTGGAGAAACTAAAACATATTATTGAATCAGTAAGAATAAAAGGCTAATGTCGCTGAGTTTTGAACGCGAAAATTTAGATCTTAGCGGGAGTATAAAATTGTTCATAAATTGTAACCTATATACCACGTATGTGATTTATTTCACCATTTTTGAAGATACTTTTCGACGAAAATTTATTGATGTGAATTCAATAATGTAAATATATATTTTTAGCATCACTTAATAATTTTTCTATGTGGTTGAGGAAATTTAAAGGAAATTAATTAATATTCTAAATATTAATTAGTTCCTTCTAGATTTTTCTGATCGTATAGAAAATTTTTAGTAAGTGTTGCGAGAAATATATATTTACTTGAATTTACTTTTATTGAATTTATATTAATATATTATTAAATTTTGGTAAAAAAGTATCTTCAAAAGTATTGCGCGATATAACATACCTTAAGAGCTTGATCAAAGTCTCCCTGTTCGTTCTTTAAGAGACCGATTAGAAAATCTTGTATCATCGAGGGTGGTATCTCTAAGGAAAACGCTTGGCACTCCAGCCACTCCAAGCACAGCTCGAACTGATCCGCATTGATCAAAGACTTGATGATCTGGAACGGGTCGATCTTCTCCGTGCAGTAAACGACGTCGTACCACGTGCTGTTCGACTTGCTCACGCAGTACGGAATCATTTTGTGAAAGATCGTTATTCTGCACAAAATACTGTTCATCCGGTGTTTGCAGTGCGTCGGCAATCTGTGACTGTGCTCGTGCTGCAATGCATGGAACAAAGCATGCTCGCACATGTTCATGGGCCACTTATTAATATTGTGCAATATCGTCTGCGCCAATATATGTATGTCTTTGATCTGATACAAATATTGCAGCACTTTCGTGGTGGAGAGGACAGCTAGATTGGAGAGCACGTGACTCAAAATCAAATCCTTGAAACGCAGCAACTCCGTGTTGTATCTCGTAACGTTGTCGGCCAGGGCATTCAACATCTCCAAGGAGCTTTCCCAGTTACGATTGTCACCTTCGTGCTCGAAATATCTCCATAATTCGTGCACGGGTACGCTATCGTGAATGGCGGCGAGAGTCTGATTACCGTTGAACAGCGGTTTCAACTTCTGCACCCATAAGGAATTCAGCAGGTTCTCCAGACAAGCGGTGCGCCTTGTATTGTCGTAATTGTTCTCCAGGATCGTCGTATTTTCGTTATGCATCCTCTGCAGAAGATAAGAAAGAAGCCAGCAACGGCTCTCCAGGTATTGCAGCAAATTAGGCCTCAGTCTTCGAGTTTGCCAAAGTGACATTTCCGTGGCGTTCGTGATTCTAACGACGGGCGCGTTATGTTCGACATACTCCAGTATCACTTCGTAGGCATAACTGGACGCAATGTATTCTACGTCGGTATCCTCTAATGTCTCAAGTCCATCCATTGAATTCCCGTTGGCGCCCACGCCAGTACTAGCGTTTTGCGATAACGCGTTCCGATACTGTCGCACCAAATCAGGCAGAGTGATTTTCTGTTTTGTCAGCTCAGGCGTGGAATCATCGTAGGGAGATTTTGTTGAGTAGTGAGAGATATAATCACGTATTGCATCGTTCAAGCTCTTGTTTAATGTCTGTGTCTCGTACACCTGCAAGTAAGCATACTCGTCATGGTTTATTCATCTGAAGAGATAAACAATCAATTGAGCACATCTTGCATAGCTAAATCTACAGAAGCAGACTTTATGTAGTAAATTTCTACTTTATGTAGTAGACTTTATGTAGTAGACTTTATGTAGTAAATGTCTACTGTAAATTTTGTCAGCAAAAGAAAATGTTTGTTAGCAGAAATATAACAAGATCTGCTAATAGAGTACGATAACAGATTGATAACAGATTGATAACAGAAACCGAGCAGGATCTATCGTTTCATAATCATTTAAATATATTCATCAAATGGAACATATGCAAGTCCCACTCAGTTTTATCTCGGTAATCTGCTGTCAAGTTAACTTACACGAATTTCAGGCGTCCCATAAAATTCATTGGCCATGGCAAAGACGACTTTCGGATTCTGCACGAGGTCCAGGTCCTGCCACGCCAACTCATTGAGCTCCTCGACTCGCGTGAAGAACTTCAGCTCATTCATGAGATTGCCCAGTAACTTCGATCTAAGGGAGGCGAGTGTCACCAGACCCAGATCTCCAATTACGTAGCCGATCGATACTGAGGAGACCATATGTCTCAGGCTATCGAAAGACGGATCGTTGCACCATATGCTCAAGCAAGCATGGAGGAACATCACGTTCCACACGTTCAAGAAAAACGTCAACGTTTCGTCCCCCACGGACAATTCGCTGAGATCGAGAGTGGCGAAGCTCGACGTTTTATCTAGTACAGTTTGCACGTCGGTATGATTGGAGATATTCCTCAAGTATGAGTTGTCTAGACGAGATTGTGAACTCACGTTACGCAAGACTTGCAAGAGTTCTGTCAGTATTTCCGAAACACATTGATTTGGTCCTTTAATCGCTACGTTCTTCGTATCCTGCGAAGATAATACTTTTGATTATACTGTATTTCTACCCAAATTAATAACTTTTTTAATGAATTATCATGTTTAATTGACGATTAGTATGATTCGAGGACTACTTAAATGACGATTTCAACAAATTCAATCGAAGACCGTTCAATTGACGATTAATATGAATAAAGGAAATTAAAGATCGCCTAATTAATAATTAAACTTAGCAAAGCCTTAATTAAAGCTCCTTTAATTGACGATTGATATGCGCAAATTTAATCAAAGATTGTTCGGTGACGATAGATTCGTACCGATTTGATTCGATTCCAGTTTAGTATAACGCATCCATAGTCCTCGATACTGGTATAACTTCTCTCGTTGCAGCAGGAAATATTGGGGCACGTGTTCACAAGAATACTGTAGATTAAATTCACTTGCAAACTAGAGGCGATCGTTTCGAGTTTATGCGGCTCTGTTTGCAAATCGAATATTTGATAGCCGAAGTAACGATGCAACGGCGTTTTTAATAAATCAGTCACTGTCTGTATGCTAGCATCATCTAGAAGCATAAAGAGCGAATTTGTAAGAGTTTAACGCAAATCCTATTGATCAGAGGTATCTTAATGCAATTGATTGAGCTTTAGAAGAAAATATCATATAAGTCACTTAATTTTTCGTAGTGCATCTATTATCATTATAACAGTTTATAACAAAAGTTATTTGGTATTCTGCAAAGCTTCATATGCAAACTTTGGGGACAGGAAATATCCCAGTTTTTGACCACAAAGAACTAAATTGAATAAACGAGAGACTTACTGTTTGCGTCAGGGATAATAGTATATAGAAACTGTAAGTGAGAATGGATATTTTGTAGGTATCTTCGATCGCTACTATAAATAGCGGACATCTTTTTTAGCGTGTTCAATCCCAGGAGGCGATTATTGTCATGAGATTGCCCCTCGACATCAGTCTTTGTTCTCTCAATGTCGTCAAATGTGCAATAATTATTCCTGAAATCGCTCCAAAAGATATTGTTTTCCCTCCACTCTTTTATGGACAATGGAATTCTCACGTCGCACAGTATAGTTGTCACCGACATATTGCTCTTGCTCTCATAAAACAACTGATAGATCTTCAGAAAGAAGCTCGCGTGTTCTGTGTTGTCAAGCGATTCGCACAATTTCAAATACTTCATAGCCACGTCGCAAAGATTATTCGATATCTGATACGTTTGGCCTATAGTTAAGCTCAGATCGAGCACGCTGAGTGTCAGCATCTCGTTGCTGTTTAGAATATCTTCGTTTAGCATTTGTAAGTGCGGCTTCTGAGATGCCAGAAGTGTTTCTAGTTGGTTGGTATGTCTAGAGGATTGCACACCTTCCTGCGCAACTAGTCTTATATTCTGTAATCATACCGGAACACTTGGAACACGTTCAGCGCTCAAAAGGTATAATTGGTTATGCAAAACATGGAATCTCACCTCTAACATGGAAGTCTTTTGACTTTCCTTAGGAGAATCTGTCGTATCTAACGTGTAAGCATACTTAAATGTATCCTGCTTGAACGCGTGAAGAGCCTCGGAAAATCGGACCGCGCTGTCCAATTGCGTGTTTTCCATGTGGAACATCTAGAAAATAGAATACATTTGTGGATAACGTCGCGATCGAGGAAATATAAGATGTTACATGTTCAAAAGTTGGCGGTATTCTTGTCGATAATCCAGATTCGTATTATGCAAATACATTCTCATACAGTTAAGTATTTTCGGTAAATAACGCTCCCTTGCGCTTTGATTGAAACTGTAACATGTCTCGACTAAGACTAAGGCAAATGTTCCAGCAATTGAACTTTGTTCCAATTGAAGTATTAATAATATATTTGTATTTAATATCTCTAAAAAAGAGCTTTCGATATTTTGTTAAAAAAGATATTTCTTTACATCAGTTTATAATATTATAAGATATAAAGTTTCATATAAACCTTAGTTTTGTTAGTGATTTATTATTTATTAACAAAAATGTAAAACTAATCGTGCTTTCTTATTAGTTTAATCATGATCACATTTATCTTAGGATAATCATATATTGCAGATAGATGTACGGGACACGAAAGTTTATGAAATCGCTTTGGACGATATGAATTATGATGAGGAGAGTGAGAACGAGATGATTAAATCGGCAGACCTCGCGGACCTGAAGCCTCTGGTGGAGGATGAAAGCAAGTACAGAGCGTTACATTCCCATGTGAAATATTACAATGAGCGTAATACTGAGGATAGAAAGCGACTTTCCAACGTATTTCCTTATCTGCGACCGTATGCAAAGGAGACGTTCGATTTTGAACAAGAAGAGAAACCATTTATCGCCGGCTTTAAGCATGAATTGGACAAAGTAAGAGTTTTACTATTGTTCAAAAAAATTTTTAATACAAATTCTTTATAGAATCTACTTAAACTTCTTCAAACCAGCTTTCTTATACAGCTGCAATGACAACTGTCCATGAGACATCAACGAAAACGACGATTCTCGCGCGAGAACAGAAGAGAAGTGTGCGGAATTACAGAAACTATAAAACCAAAGTCAGCACAGGTACTAATTAAATATGCTAAGTCACAACTAAGACTGGAAAAACGAAGACAAATGTAATATCCTTGCACACTCCACCAAATAACTGCAAGAAGGTGCAAACAATATTAGAGCAAAACGCGAAGAAACAAAGAACGAATATGAGGTGACATCAAGTGAAAACATGGATTTCTTCCAAATGGCGAAAGACAACAATATTACGATTAGCGATGCGGAAGCAACGGAATATTTCGGAGAAACGCAGGCGACACGGGCGCAATATGACGTTTACGAGTACGGTCAAGAAACAACGAGCGAAGATACAAAGAAATACACTCCGCATCGGTCCTTAATCTCGAGTGGAGAACCTACTCTCGCGAACACCGAGAGCCCTGACGAAGAACCGTACGATTACGAGAAATTCAAATTGGAATATGAAGAGCAGCTGGAATATGGCATAAAGCGTGGCAAAACGTTTAATTATACTGAGAAAGAAGAATCAGAGGACACACCGAAAAAGGCGTTGAAGAGGATAATCGATATGAAACAACCCAAGAATTGTACGAAGGAGGAGATCAGTCAGATTGGAATTAAGGCAATAGGATGCCTCGTGTACGATTACCAACGTGCGAGAGATATAGCGACTGTGAGAAGAGTCCTTTCGCGGACATGGCTGATCCTCAGGGTCTGGCTGTTAATTTATATTTGCATTGCAATCCCATGCTGGTGCCAAAGAGGTAATTTCGATGTTCCTATAATATATGAATCGACTATTATACAAAGTTCTCTCTCTCTCTCTTGTTGAGAATAGAACATTTAACTCTTAATTTTATATTTTCAATGGCGACAATTGAGATTTGAATTCTCAATTGAAAAACTTTAATTGAGAATTGAAAACTTAATTTTTTAAATTGAGTATTAAAATGTTAATTCTTAATTGAAATTTTAATTGAAAAACTTTAAATGAGTGAAAAATTAAGCCTTAATTAATTTGAATATTTTTAATTAAGAATTAACATTTTTAATACTTTGATTAAAAATTCAGAAGTTAATTTTTAATTATAAAAATTTTAATTGATAATTATATAACTCTAGTATGAACAACATATTATATTCCAGGATGGTGCTGCTGTTGTTTCCGTTGTAAGTTCTGTTTCCCAAGAAAAAGAATTTTATTTGCAAAGCAATATTATACTATGAATCCCCCTGGCACGCTAGTAAAAGATTTCAAGAAAGAAAAATATATAAAAGAGCCTATTAAATATGAAGCTACTGAGTACGAATATGATACATACAAGACATTCGAAACTGCGGTAAAAAATATATAGGTATTAATGATCTTTTATTATAGGAGCGTGCATGTTTAATTCAAGTGTTTCTAACTCAGATCTAACAAGATCAAAACGTTAATAATTATGTATGTATTATATATAATATTACCTCGATTACTTCCTGTGCCATTTGAAGATCATTTCTCCATAAGCAATGCAAAGCCAAACTCTCCTGTGAGGCCAACATTAAGTTAATCAGCGATGGTCTGTCTTTCGCTGTCGAAGAATCTGCTGTTACCGTAGCATTTCTCGAACATTTTCTGCGTCTAACACTGCCTCCTAATAAGCCCGACTCCGAGCTGCTGTCCGATTTAATTTTAACCTCGTCTGAAGTACTGCTCTCTTTATAAAAGAACGTATTGCCCTTGATGCGGTGCGGGAAATTTAATTTTGGAGAAACTACAGGTTCTACTTTACTTGCAGCAGAAGAATGATGAGACTCATCTTGCGGAGTATCAACGTTTTCGACAAAGTCAGATTTCATATAAAATTTCAGTCTCCATCGTGCGTCTGTTAGTGCTGACGTAAAGAGGAATATCCTTTCACGAAGATACTGCACCTCCTCGTGTTTTCTGAGTATTTGCAATTTATCGATTTCTTGCGTTGTAGCTAAAGTACTTTCCCACAAGTAATGCAGCATGTCCCTTATGGCATATTTATTGGATATAAAACCTGACCTTTCATATTCCACTGACTTATTATTACCTGTCCTCTCAAGTGATACATTGCAGTTGTCATCTTTGGAATTAGTGTTTGTAACATTAAAGTCTTCATGGCGCAGAAACAATAGTGAAAATATATTCTCCATTGTCTCTATCCTCAAGGACAATGGGAACAAAGAGCATAAGTATGCCATCATGTCAGTGAAACATTTTGTAATCTGTTCATGTTCCATGCTATAAGATTCGCACAATAAAATGGCTTTTAGAGCACTTACTATACTGCAATATGCTTGAAAGTTTTCAGATTCAGTAGATTCTATCAACAGATCTCGAATGGCACTATGATCTTGATCATGTATATTTGTCGTTATCTTCAATACAGAAAGCACATTGTGTTTCTGCAAAAGGGAGAGAATCCATTTCACGGATACTATCTGTTCAATTGCATCAGATTGCATATTTCTTAACTCTTTAATGTCTGATCTCTTAAAATATTTTCTTTTCCAATATAATATATATTCCACAATCCCAATGTGGTTCTTTAAGAGTGTATAGAATTCATTTAAATCATAATCATTGTGTAAATCTGAATAACACTTCTCTAATAAGAACTTTATAGATTCACAAATGAAAATACTATTATCACAGTTTTCAAGGGAATTAATTTCTTCGTGTGGACAGTCATTTAATGCTTTCAACAATAAAATCAGATGCAATCTCTTTAGTAAATCACATGATAACAATAATTCCACTTCACTGTACCTCCTATTTACAGTTAAAATATAACAAATGTCCTGCAACACAAAAATTCATTACAAAAGCTGTATAGTTTTGTTTAATTATTAATAAAGTTATATAAGCAGATCTGTAAAATATAATACTTACCAAAATATCACTCAACCAGTGCAATTTTCTTGTACTTATCCTCTTGAGTAATTCTTGTTTGCATAAAAGTATTTTAGAATTTTCTGTTAATTTAAATATATTTTCACCGATTTTATATGCCATATCCAAAGTAGTAATGCTTTCAGAACATGCATGTGTTTTATCCCAAAACAAGAGCCATTCACTAAATAGTTTTCCACTTTTCCTTGAGTACAATGAAAGTTCGATATCTTTAACATTATACATTTTTGATAATATAGGATAAAATGTTTTTAGAAATTCCATCTCAGCATCTGCATTTATATCCATTTGCAATAAAAGACATAATACTGTTTGCAAATGATTATTTTGATTAGTTGGTCCAGCTTCTAGAGAACAAGATTCAAGTACTTCATCTCTGGAGTGCCAATTTTTTCTGACTGAAATATGTTCTAAACACAATTTCAATGTAGAAAAATAAATATCTTGTAAATCATCAATGACACCGCACAATATGTCTGGAACTATGGACATTAATTTGTTCACAATCCAACATACAATTCCTGCATGGACATATATATTCTCTTTTAGGAATGTGAGAGTCTGCTGGGATATAGTTACTACTTTTGTACTATGTTTTATGTTTACATCGCTAAGGAACATTAATAATTCCTAAAAAATAAATTTTTACTTCAAAGCAAGAGATTTGAAGACAACAGATATAAGGGAATAGTAGTAATTGAATATATGTTAAGTTTAATGAGTCAGACATGGAATAAACTCTAAAGAGAGAATACCTTGTACACATAATCTGGTGCATTGCCACATAGGTCTATAGCATTTCTCATTTGTATATAGTCAAGTTGTGTCTGAATATTGCGGTGTATATCACATTCTACATTCGAAGACTTGTTCATAAGTTTCCATAGCAAAATATAGGCAACCCATTGGTATTGTTCCTCACTTGGAGAATGACTGTAAATATTACTTCGTGTAACAAAAAGAAAACAGCACAATACAAATAATACAAAATATTTGCTTACATCAAACTTTCGACTATAGCCTCTAACTCTGTCAAGTTGACGCTACAATTGTGATTAAATTCTCTTAAGGAGCCACTGTTTGCTTGAAAAACACTCAGAGACGTGTACCATAATCGAGATGAGATACATTTATCTATTTCGAACACACCCACTTGTTTTGACATTTCTTCTGAAGACATTACACGTGACATATGAAACTTATTGAATCACTTTACGATCTTTTCCTCGATCTCTTTGTCTTGATATCAGTCTTTCGCGAGTCCTCAAAGAGCTTTTTGTTATATTGTATTTATACAATGCAGAAGAAGGAATATCAACGCATAAAACGTAGTCAAACATGACACAATACAATTCTATGAAGACAGAAAACGTTACTGATTGCTGGTTAAATTTCTTAAACGAACATAACCTCTCTCGCCCCTCTCTCTCTCTCGTTAGTTACAGGCCTGTCAACCTCTCTCGTTTGGTAGTAAAAATCCATAGTTTATGTTACGTATAATATAGATTTACAGTACTGGAAGTGAATATCGGAACGCAGCCAATAGTTATAAGTTACAAGCAAATTGACCAATCACAGTCGATTATTTTTGAAAATAATCTAAATGTCTCTATATTCCAGTTCAAGTGAAATATACGATATCATTCTGGAAGTTGGCTGCGTTGTTCTGCACCTATGTAAATCGGAAAAAACTGTCTTATTACATCTGACTGTAGTAAAGTAGCGAGCTTTTACTAAAGTAGTGAGTTTTTACTTACTTGATTAGTGTTATTTTACTTTTACACTGATGATATTTATCAATAATTTTTCAAGTACGAAGTAAATAAATACTCGAAATGTATCTAGAGAAAATTCAATATCAATAAGAGTTTCTAACCTATTATTTTATACTAGTAATCATAATCCGGGTAATATATTTTGCTGTTAATACAAATTATCTCAGCACTCTAATTACATTCACATAACTCAATGAGATTAATATTATTAAATCGATTATTTAACATATTAATATTATTAAAATAAGTCGGTAACGTTTTAGTGATAACAGCATGCATAGTTAATACTGTTTTATAATTTACAGATTAACTGCTGCTGTAGTATAACATCAACTTCATAAAAAATGGAAAGGGCTTTGAAGAGACTGTTGCAGATATATCCAATTACACGTAATTGGATGGCCTTGTCAAATTATATAGCACCATTGCAGTGTATACAGAATGCATCACAGATGTATAGCAGTAATTTTTCTGGTAATTGAAAATTTTGTATATATTTGTAAGAGATGAATATAATGTTCTAGAAAAATATTTTACAGGTCATACAGATTTGAGAAATGTTACTATATCTTTGTCAAGGAAAACATCTTACACTATTAAAGTAGCACCAGAACCTATGAAAATACTAGATGTAGTAGCAACAAATCATATAAATATGTCTCTGAATGATGCAGTCAATACTTTATTTGTGTTATTTGACACTGCGAAAAGAATAAAGAATTTAGATCATATTGAAAGTCACATAGGCTTTATACATTTGTGTGAGATAATAAATAGAGGTGTTAGATACTTGAATATAAATAATGTCATTAAATGCTTGAAGATACTCATATATTTCCAGACTCAAGGCAATACCTTGTTGATTCAATCACTATTACAAATGATTAGAGCAAATGTAAATGAAATGTCTATTCGTAATATAATATTTTTATCCTTCTTATTAAAAAGAATGGAAAGTACACCCTTGAGAGATGCTTTATTGATAGCTATGAGTGTAGTGTTTGAGATACAATTACCAACAAAATTAGAGACAGATGACATTTTTTTTCTGATGGATTCATTGAGATTTATGAGTAACCATAATATACAAAATCAAAATATAAATGATATAATTTTGAAGTCATTGTGTAAGCATAAACATACTTGGAATATACAAGCAGCCAAGTCAATCTTTTATAGCTTGTGCATGATGCCTCAGCTATCTCCGCTAGGGTATGAAATATTACCCAATGTACAAAAGATTCTTATATCCAAGGTGGACGAATTAAGTATCAAGGACATAGCAACAATACTTAAAAAATTAAAAGTTGCCATTTTAAAGTATGTTATATAATTGTTATATCAATATTATATATGAAAAGTATAATAAGAATCCTTATGTTATATTATTGTTACAGAAAACATATACTTTACAATGAAGTATTCGTGGATACTCTTATCAATTCAGCGTTATCCTCCAATATTGGTTATACAGAAGGTATCAATGTGCTCAACTTGTTGAACCTTCTGGATCATATACATATACCCTTGTTAAAATGTCTGGCAGCAGAATGCTCCGAGAATCCGACTCTTTTAAAAAATGAGTCGCAGAAAAATATGATATCTCTTCTACAAGGATTTGTTAATGCTGATTACAAGCCAGTATTTTGGGACACTATAAGAGAAGCAATAATAGAAAATATTGAAGGAAATTGCAGATCTTACGATAACTACGATAAAAGCAATAATTTATTAAGTAGATTCACTCTATATCTGCTTGCGTTAGATTATTACAATCCAGATTTACTCAATAAAGTCTTCTCCAGAACTATAAGAACTGATGAAACAATGAGACATATTTGTATAGAAGAAATATTACTTTTATATCAAAGTGTTAAAGCGCTATATCCCATGTACGATGGGCCATGGCCGCAACAAAACTTACTTGAGTATGCTAATATGAATCTGAATCCTGCACTTGAATGTTCTCTCAAACTAGGATTGGAACGAGCATTAGGTGGCTCACAATATGTCCATAATGATTTAAAGACAAAACTTGGCCATCATATTGGTAAGATGTCATTAAATATTTTCATTTGTGGTTAATAAGATGTAACATATTGTTCTCCACAATTATTTAATTTAATTATTAAATAGATTCTCTCTTTTTCTCTCTCTCTCTCTCAGATAATGCTAAATGTTTTAAATTAGTATAGTTCAAGTAATTTAAAATTTCACTATTTTCACTGTATACTAACATCTTATATAATTATTTTCAACATAAACAAATATATTAATAACGTTTTGTCATTTTAGATCATGTGGTTGTAATGAGAAAAGGTGGATATCCTATTGCAATTAATTTAGATACTATTAGCGATAGAATTACCTATGTTGAAGATTTACAAACTCCAAGTGAAAGTCAAATGTAAGAACGTTCTCAATTTAACGTATTACAGCTGTTTATTTTTAATCACTCGCTCGTTGCTAACGCGTTATTTTGCGTTTCAGAATACTTATTTTCAATCTTCCAAATAAAGCATATGCTGTGAATTCGCAAAGATTAAAAAGTACATGGGCGTTAAAAATAAAGTCTGCAGAAGTGCTAACCAAGTCCAGCGCAGTTGGTATAAATTCGAATTTTTGGATGAAGCTTCCCGAATACGAAAAAATTCCGTACTTAATGCAAGCTATAAAGCTGAAATGTGAAGATCGTTTAGTCTCAACTAATTAAAAAAAAATATTTTCATCATAATTAATAATATAGAAAATATATTGTTCTCATGAAACAATTGCTGAAATATTTCGAAAATATTTGACACTAATGGTACAATGAGAGATTATATAACAATTTTACATAATAGATATATGTGATTCAATTTTACAGTTATAAATAGCTGTACTTCAACCAAAAATCAGAATCGACAGATTAAGATAGAAAAAGTTTTAAAGTATATAAAACAAGAAACAAATTATTTGTATTTAATTATGAGTAACTGGCATAACCTACTCTATTATTTCCCTTCTCAATGTATAGTTCCTTGTCTTTAAAATCTAAATCTAACTTATTTATTGTGTAAGGATAAATGTACATTCGACAAAATATCTATATAACAATTTATTTGTATGAAAATATTTATAATACATCAACAATGAAATGTATAATACTGGACTCTACGTATCTGTTATATATACTATCTAAACAATATTTTATGAAGAAATGAAGAAAAACGCGGAAATCCAGAAATATAAGTCCAGAAATATCATTATAATAAAAATATTTTGTATATACATGTGACATATGTATATAGATAATGGATTAAATGTATATAGATATCACAAAAAAAAATACAAATTTTTGTGATCTTTCAATTAATACAGATTCATACAAACTTATCAGTAAACTTCGTTAAGTGGTCTACAAGCAGCCGGTTTCGCTACCACTTCATAAAAAAAAGAGAACGTCGTAAAGAAATAGAAATATCGGGGGCTCAAAAATGAAGCATTAATATGCATTAAGAATGTAACTTCCATGTAGCACCTACTAGCACCATTTTATCAGAAACTTCGAGATCCGACATTAATATCATTGATTTAAACCGAATAGTTTCAGAGCGTTAAAAGCTGTAGCCAGCGCAACTTCTTCCGGAGTAGTTCGCATAAACGCCGCCACCATTTCCACAATCGCTGGCAAGGCACACGGTTCGTTACGTTGAAAGGTACAGTAACGGTGGAGAAACGTCATAGATCGCGTGGTCAGAGCATCCTTCACATGTACTGGTAATTTACTGGCTCTAGTATTAGGATACATGAACGGCGCGTCGGTTTCGACCAAAATTCGGTCTAATGGTGCTTGTCCTCCCTCTAACAGTTGTCTTATCCCGCTGTCGGATTTGTCTTTGCACAGGTAGCCCGTGATACCCAGGTAAAATCCTTGGTCCAGGTAAACTTGGGCCTCTTCCGCGGTGCCGATGAAGGAGTGAATGAGAACGGGCGGTAAGCGATTCTTGTATCGACCAAGGACCTCCAGTACATCTTTCTGCGCTCCTCTCTCGTGTATAATTAACGGCTTGTTCAACGTACAGGCCAATTCTATTTGTTTGTGAAAGACTGCGCGTTGCGTTTCCGGCGCTGAAAAGTCGCGGCTATAGTCCAAGCCGCACTCGCCGATCGCCACGCATTCCGGATTGCCGGCTATGCTTTCCAGCTCTTGCGGGGTGTCAGGATCCTCCCACGACTTGGCGTCGTGTGGATGCACGCCCGCGGTCGAATACAGAGTCCCAGGATATATTCTAGTTAGCCTCAGTGCTTCTTTGCTGGAACGAATACTCGCACCTGTCACCATGATTTTCTGCACGCCAGCATCCTTCGCCCTTTGTATCACACTGTCTAAGTCCCGACTGTACTTTTTATTTGTAAGATTGGCACCAACATCGACTATAATATAATTTTCATAGCACTGGGTCATGGATGAGGGAGCGGCTTTCTCTTTTTCAGCCATTCTTTTTATCTTATATATAACAAAATACTGAAATAAAAGAACTGCAATGAATATTCAATTGTCAATTTTTTTTTATAGTTGTTAGTGATGAATATAATAAATGATGGATTATAACAAAATGATGAAATCAATATAACAGCTCTTATTCTGAACAATTAATAAATAACTTCATCGATAAGACTGCCTCTAAATGTATAATATTTATATTTATAAACTAAAGTGTTTATAAGCTAATCAGAAGGCTTATAAGTTACTTTTATTAATATAAGTTTAAAATAAGAGCCATATTCATTATTCATAACAAAAATAATATTGATAAGATAAATGTGTTATCTCCCATAAAAACTAAACTTTGTCCCAAATTTATTGTAATATTAATAATATATTTGTATTTAATATTTCTAAAAAAAGAACCTTTGAAAGTTTATTATAAGATATTTCTTTATACCAATTTGTAATATTATTTAATGAGCATTCAATCATTAAGTCTGTATTATTCAATAATTAGGACATGATTAATTTTTTAGTTCAATCGCTACAATTCGTATTATCTAATATCTCATTAAAATTATAATTTTTATATGTATTCATTATTTTATTTTCTATTTTATAGTATAAATTAGTAAAAATTTTGTTCTTTATATGCCACCTTTGTCTTTATTTTTTTATGATCCTACTAGCTTCATTAAAGTATAAAGTTAAAAGTGCCACATCTTTTTTTGAAATAGTATATAGGATACAATGGTGTATAGAATACAAAATTCTAATTAATGACACAAATTAGTACAAAATGAGTACTAAATCCAATAGGTGTGATTTGACTTTGCAAATTTCTGCTAACTTTAGAAAGATACCAATATGTATGTATGTATGTATGTATATATATACATACATACATATTACTGATAACAAATATTATTAATTTAATAATAAATATTACTGATACGATAATATGTGTATTATCATATAATAATATACATTATCGCATCCTTGTTTTGTACCAAGAACGATCGTGCTCTTATTGCGACACTGACATCAGTGGCAATTGGATGTGATCGACTATTTTTAGAAAGCATACGTATGCTCTTAAGAAATATAATTCAAACGTATGTCCTAAATATAAATTCAATAGGTCCACCAACGTTAACGATATTCCTTCTGTATTTAATGCAAATTAAATTTAGAACAAGTGTGTGTGTACTTTCGCAAAAAATTAAAACACGAGTAAAAAAGATGACTAATTGATAAGGTATTTATGTATTGTTATCACGCAAAATTTCAATATCACAAACGAACACCGACCGAATGCATGCATTTTACATAACAGGTCATTGATACATTGCTTTAAATTAAATAACTACGTAAGAGGTCATGGAGTACAAGCATTGGTGGATTAAAGTTCTTGTGACGGATGATTAAGCACTTAACCTATATGAAGAAAGCTGTATCAACGGCGAACAAATATATCTACACGAGGCGGAATTGGATTGTGATTGTTTAAAACGAGGAGGAAGTGTCAAACAGATCAGTGCGGAATCAATTGTAGGTCAATAAAAATAAAACGACAGCGTTGAACATACCTATTCCTAACCTCTAAATGTATATTTGCACTGTTTCCAGTACGTATGATGGATTCGAATTTCTTGAACAACAATCAACTTTTCAATCGCCGCTCATATTTGTTAATAGCACAATCGTTACAAACACGCACTATAATATTACATTGCTGCACGAAGGAGAAGAACGTGACACACTCCGATCAACTTTGATACTCTGTTGTTATTATTATAGCTAGGTTCGCCAATCGTAAGAACAACGTTCGCCCCAGTGATGTCAAATCGTAAAAAATTTCCTATGGTCGGTATTCATAGTGAAATCTTAAGCTCATTCAACAATTGCGTGAACGTGATTGAAAGTGATTACGACAACCTATCAGAGTAAAGCAATCAGTGAATAAAACATTCAGATTGGTTGACTCTTACGTTCACGACTACGCTTACGCAATTATAGAATGGGCTTTATATTTAAAGCGTCTTCTACAATGGCAGTAGGAGTAGTAATAAGAAATAAGCAGTAAGTAAATAGACCAATCACAATCGATTATTTTTGAAACGTGAGAATGGAATTGGTCAATTTGCTTACTGCTTATTTCTTTCTACTACTCCTACTGCCATTGTAGAAGACGCTTAAGGGCTGTGACACACAGAAAAAATTAAGCAGTATGACGTAAGCAGTAAGCAAATTGACCAATCACTGTCGTCGATTCTTGGACCGTAAGAAGAAACAATGACTGTGATTGGTCAATTTGCTTACTGCTTACATTTTACTGCTTAAGTTTTTCTATGGCCGGTATTCATAGTCGAATCTTATTTCAAGACAGTCTTAAGTAATATCTTAAGATGCGAATACGGCATTGTGATTGGTTCATGACGTTTCAAGACAGTACTTAAGATGATTTTAAATATAAGATCGGACTATAAATACCGACTTATGTGCCACCAGCTTAAGTATATCTTCAGATGATGAACGGATCATTTCATTGGCTACGGAGTATCTGAAAATGAACTTAAGCCAGCTTTAAAAATAAAATCCGACTATGGGCGGAATTCATAGTCAGATCTTATATTTAAGATTATCTTAAGTATTGTCATCTTAAGATGTCATAAATCAATCACGAGTTGGTTGTACACATGCAACATTTTTTAATAGTTCCGGTCATTAAATGCAAAAAAATATACTTTTAAAAAAAGGTGGGCTAAGTTCTCGCAGCGCACCTAATCAGTAAAATCAACTATTTCTTTAGAACTATTGTTATATATGATATAGAACTCTAGAACTATTGTAAAACAAACCGGAACTCTAAAGAAATAGTTAATTTAAATAGTTTTCTTGATTAGGTGCGCTGCGAGAACTTAGCGCACCTTTTTTTGAAAGTCTATTTTTTTGCATCTAATGACCGGAACTATTCAAAATTGTTGCATAGAGCTCTAGAACTATTCAAGAGAGTATCAGAACTGCAAAAAAAATGGCACATTTTGAAATATGGTGTGCCAAGACTTGGCGCACCATATTTCAAAATGTGCCATTTTGAAATATGGTGTGCCAAGACTTGGCGCACCATATTTCAAAATGTGCCATTTTTTTTGCAGTTCTGATACTCTCTTGAATAGTTCTAGAGCTCTATGCAACAATTTTGAATAGTTCCGGTCATTAAATACAAAAAAATAGACTTTTAAAAAAAGGTGCGCTAAGTTCTCGCAGCGCACCTAATCAAGAAAACTATTTAAATTAACTATTTCTTTAGAGTTCCGGTTTGTTTTACAATAGTTCTAGAGTTCTATATCATATATAACAATAGTTCTAAAGAAATAGTTGATTTTACTGATTAGGTGCGCTGCGAGAACTTAGCGCACCTTTTTTTGAAAGTCTATTTTTTTGCAGTTCTGATACTCTCTTGAAAAGTTCTTGCATAGAGCTCTAGAACTATTCAAGAGAGTATCAGAACTGCAAAAAAAATGTCACATTTTTAATATGGTGTGCCAAGTTCACGCAAGA